CTGTCTGATTATTTGTATGTTTTTTTTCTTCAAAAATTAACGTTTCGTTTGGTTTTCAAGTTCAGACAACATTTATGTAGAATTGGCCCCCTGAATGTAAATTCTAGAAACAATGGTGTCGTTATGTTCGACAGTTAGTTTTAAAAATAAACTTCAGCGTAATTGGCTACGGAAAGAAACCAGGATTATATTTTGGTTTAAGACAAAATAGGCCTGATGGTTAGGGCGCTCGACTCGTTAATGTGCGGGTCGCGGGTTCGAACTACGTCACCGAACACGCTTGCCCTTTCTGCCGTGGGGGCGTTATAATATGACGGTCAATCCCATTATTCTTTGGTAGCCCAAGAGTTGGCGGTGGGTGGTGTTGGCTAACTGCCTTCCCTCCAGTCTATCACTGCTAAATTGGGACAGCTAGCCCTCGTGTACCTTTGTGCGAAATTTAAAACAAACCAAATCTATAAACTTGTATCCAAATTACACATTTGTTTTGAAAGAAAGAACTCGTTTTTGCATGAATTTAGCACGATTTGATACTCATTATTTGCTTTAACAGTTGAATTTATGTTCGCAAGCAACGAACAATCATAATCGTATACAATTCGAAACTTTGGTTTCTCATTCGGTATTCAAACAAACGGTTTTCAGTTTCATCAGCCGGAAGTTGTTAACGTTGTACACTACTGTCTTGTTATATGCATTATGCCTCCAGTAAAATGGGCGCTTTTGTATGTCGGAAATGTAACATAAAAAAAAACTCACGTATCTACTATCTGCTTCCTTATCCCGTCTACAGAGGGCGCTGCGTAACTCCGATATCTATTTCCTTATTCCGTCTACAGAGGGCGCTGCGAAACTCCGATATATATTTTATTATCCCGTCTTCAGAGGGCGCTGCGTAACTCCGATATATATTTCCTTATTTCGTCTACAGAGGGCGCTGCGTGACACCGATATCCATTTAAATCGGATGAATATTTATCTTAGGCTTAAAATGTTATCAAATTTATACTACAGTTCAGTTATTTGTTCTTTTCGCTCTCATTTTTCACTTAAGTGCAAAGTTACACAATGGGCTGTCTGCGCTGAGCCTACCGCAGGGATAGAATCCCAAAATTTAAAAGCTTTTTGTTGTAAAGATAATTGAGATTCATATTATTTTTTCCAAGCATTTTTGGAACAATAAGCGTGGGAAAAAAACCAACACATTTCTAGTTTATTTTAGCATTTCTTCTGCATATCCATTTTTTTTTCTCTGTGCATATCTGTCATAAATACCCCCAAAACAAACGTAATGTAAACTTGGTATAGTTGAAAAACGATTGCAGAAACTAATGGCAAGGGGGGGGGGGGTACATGAAACGTATCTTAGTGGCAAATATGTCTAAAATATAGAGCCCACTTAGCTCCCTTCTAATGGTTCAGCGGTAAGTCTGCAGGCTTACGGCGCTAAAAATTGGGTTTCGATACCCGTGCTGGGCATAGCACAGATAGCCCATTGCGTAGCTTCGTGCCTAACATCAACCACTTGGAGCTGGGGAGACGTCCCCCCTTTGTGTGACTTCTGGACGCGCTGTGTATAAAAGTAAATAGTTTCAAGGATCATATATATATATATATATCTAAATGAATGTTATAAAAGTGGGCATGATGGCACAGTGAAAACTCTAGTTTTATGGTACAGGTTTTTTAATCAGAGCACACAATATACTGTTTATATCTTTTGTTACTTTTAAATATCGGAATTCATTGTTTCATCGCTGTTAGCGATGTTTTCGGCCATAAACCTAATAATATCTTAGGAGGTTCGACCAGTTTAGGATATTTCGTTTAGTCCTAAATCCATATGCTAACCTAACAATGGAAAATAATCTTTATAATAAAGATATAAAAATGAAAATAAAATATCATAAAAAAAGATATGTTAGAAATTTAACTAATTTAACCATTTAGAAATTTTAAAGAATGTAACATTAAAAAAAACAGAGTATAAACATGCTACAACAGGCTGTAATGTGATGATATAAGGTGTGTATGTGAGACAGAATCCAGTTTACATCAGAGGGGAGGTAAACGTCTTACAGAGGACCAGAGACCGGTAATTACTATCATACATATCTTTTTACGACTTAAAAGAATATATAATAGAATTGTGGGTATATATATGTCTTCCCCTCGTTTCCCCCAGTTCGGAGCCTATGACAATACGAAGAATCTCATAACTATGGGGCGGAATGCACCTTCAAAGGCATACGAACAAAGCCCGAAGTTCAGTACCTGATCACAATACTGTTTCGTCTATCATCACATATAGACATGTATTCGAGGATCGAAGATAAAATTATCGATCATTTGAGGTTCTCAAGCCGTGATCAGTATCAGTAACGTTATATATATATATATATATATATCAAATTCTACCTTCAAAGTTAAACATCTTATTATCTATAGATCGTTCCACTAAAACTGGTGTCAAAACAATAATTCGCTTTTGTGCATCAAAAGGATACCAAGAAAACAAATTACTGGATCCGACTCGCGCGAGACAAAGGAGCCCTATCTGTTGCACGTGCTTTCTAATGACTACTTTCAGTACTTTAAGCAAGGCTAGAATTCAACCTTCTACGTCTCGCACCACGTGAAAACGCGACAATGGTATTTGATGCATCAGCCTCTTTACCCTTACAAAAGTCAAATTGATTTATTCGCTGCGTTTTTTTTTCCCTTTCTTTTTGTTGCCTTCTGATCACAGTTATTATTATAGTCGTGGTTTTGAAACCTGACTTCAATCTATTATTTAAATTTAGCTAAGGAATTTTCTGACCTTGTCGCTTCTCAGAAATATTAATAGTGATTCATACGTCGTACTTATGAAATAATCGTTTACGTAATTGTTGAGGTCGTGACTCAAGAATCATTTATCTTATTTAACTACAGAAACAAATATCGGTGAATCAGCTCTGTATTATGAAAAACTGTTTAAAATACTTAAAGGTTTTCCCTTTTTTTTAAACCCTAAAACTACCACTATATCCCAAATTCTTCATTGGATTTTAAATAGTTTTTTTTAAGGGAAACAAAATTATCTTTGCAGTTAAGCCTACTAATTACTGATGGAGTCCATTATGTATTTTACTTAGAAAATACACGACTTCACCCAGTTTTTTTTTTTTTCTTCTTCTTTTGGCGATGTTTTCGTATTTGGTGCTGTTATAGGCAAAAACATAATATTACTTATTATAATGCAATATGTAGATCCCTCTGGTGGTATAAATAAAATTGATAATTTGAGGCTTTAAAACCTCGTACACGGCAATTTCGTATGGCCCCAGCAGTTTGAACTGTGGATGCGTTAACAATGATAATTTAGTAAAGTTTAGTAGTTTGAACCATATATTAATGCTAATACAGTAAGACTTGGTAGTTTGGATAAACAATAGTAATACAGTAAGACTTAGTTGTTTGAACAATACGTTAAGTGGTAATACAGTAAGGCTTACTAGTTTGGATTAACAATAGTAATACAGTAAGACTTAGTTGTTTGAACAATGCATTAAGTGGTAATACAGTAAGGCTTACTAGTTTGGATTAACAATAGTAATACAGTAAGACTTAGTTGTTTGAACAATGCATTAACATTAGATTTAGTAATTTAAACTTTGCGCTCGCAATGCTAATACAGTAAGGCTTAGTGTCAATAATAGAATAGGTTTTTGAAGGATACACAATTTAATGTTCGTCTAAAACTGAAATATACTGCTTTTAAATAATGACCGAACTGTTTTCACATTAAATAACGAATATTATCAGTATCTTTTACTTATAAGAGCAATTAAACGTACATTTGGTATTTTTAGTTTTACCCTAATACTGGTAAGTTACAGCGATTAGTACGTTAAGAAAGAACCAAAACCCTAGCGCTTTTAACACGTGGACCAGTCTTCTATAAACTGGGAGTAAGCTGGGCTCTAAAATAAATCTTTCTACAAGTCTGTGAAGGGATTCTTGATTTGAAACCCTTGTTCGGTATTTCAGCCCCTGAGAGTCCTATCAACTATTATAACTGGGGTAAGCTTATTAACTGGAACAAATATATATGAAGTGACCTGAAATATCTGTGATTTGCGTTTCCAAGAGAAGACCCCCCCCCCTCGCTCTCCTCAGAAATACTGCTTTTGAAACAATTGTTATTACGACTAAAGAGAGCCCTCTATTGGCATAGCAAACCACTAAATATACTGTTTATAAAGGTGAATGTAAAGACAAAGGTTGTAAGTTGTGAGACACTGGATCGTAGTCACAAGAGCTTTCTGAATTATTTACAGGATCTCGTGACGTCACCGGCAGAAGTGTTGTCGTCATCGACTTATCTAGATGGCAGAGGCATTCTGAAATCACGGCGTCACAGGTGGCGCTGTTGTTGATGTATTTTCATACTATCCCTAAGTAAGTTTGTTTTCCTTTCTGATGTAATTTTTTTTGTTTGTTACCAACATCCAATCTAAAGTAGGAATATGTAGATGGTTATTTTTTTAATAATATCAAATAAATATAACATCCATTAATGACAAGAAAATAACAAATCAAATTAATTAAAAACCTATTCAATGGGCTATCTGTGCTGTGCTCATCACTGGTATCGAAACCCGGTTCTTAGCGTTATAAGCCACTGGAGGAGAGGGAGGGGCTAAAATAATCTACTGGTTGTTTTCAGGCCATTAATAATATCACAGACGCCCGGCATGGCCAGGTGGTTAGGGTTATTGACTCGCAATCTTCGGGTCGCGGGTTCGAATCCCCGTCCCACCAAACATGCTCACCCGTGAGGGCATTATAATGTGACGGTCAATCCCACTATTCGTGGGTAAAAGAGTAGCCCAAGAGTTTGCGGTGGGTGTTGATGACTAGCTGCCTTTCACTACTAAATTAGGGACGGCTTGCGCAGATAGCCCTCGTGTAGCCTTGCGCGAATTTCCAAAAACAATATCACAGACTAAATATAAAACAAAAATAAAGTTTCTACTTAATGATGTTTCTTTTGTTATTTTCTTTGTATCTCACATCTAAGGAATGAAGTGGCATGCCGAGGGTTTTTAGTAGTAGTAGACTGTCGAAAAGCTAGTGACGTTTACCTGACACTGCTGGACCAAGCTTTATGTTATGTACAGGTAAGATACTTCATTCAACTACCCGTGTGTGGCTTTTTATTTTTATTCAACTACCTGTGTGTGGCTTTTTATTTTTATTCAACTACCTGTGTG